AAGGGAAATGAGGTAAGCCCCGCAGCTTCCTCTAGCGGTGGCTTCCCCACACAGCAAAGTAACCAGCAGGGTGTTGCCCCCAGAACCAGTGCCCTGGGCCTGCCCACAGAAGGGGAGGGAGGGTGTATTTGGGGAGTGGAGGGGGGGGGACGGGGCGGCTGGGGCCTGAGCCTAGGTATCTGAACGCAGATGGGACGCTGAATGTCCGAGGGGTGCACGACAAACACGGTAAGGTGCCCCTGGGGTAGGCATAGTTGCATACGGCACCCAAGGCCTCCATGTGGCCCGCCCCCCTGCCCATCACCTCACTGCACCGTGTACCCACCTGTCTCTGGGGGCGGCGGCAGGCCCGGCACCGCGGGGGGCGGGTCCATGGCCCAGTGCAGTTGTCGGCTGAAGTCCTGGCGGTCGTCCACGTGGATGTAGTCGTACACGTTCTGATACATCACGTCTGTCTGCAACGCGCAGCAAAGTTACTGCAGCCTTGCCCTGGAGGGCTCTCGGGCATGATTACTGCCGCACCGTCCATGGGAGCAAGTCTTGGCCCATCTCCCCTGGATGGATGCCCGTGCTGGGCGACCCTGACTTGATCAACCTGGCAGGGTCAATTCAGGGTCAGCAGGGCGTTCAGAGATGGAGTGTCCTCTGGTGCTAGACACTTGGGGACCAAACTGTCAACCAGGAATGGCCATGCCAGGGTAGACCATCCCCAAAGGGTGGGACCTGTAAGCCTTATTGAATTGGCATGTTCTCAGTGATGCACAGGGAAACCGCCGTGGACTGCTACAAGGACAAACAGATCTGTCTTAGAAGTAGGGTCAGAGTGCTCCTTAAAAGCAAGCATGGTGAGACGCTGTCTCACATACTTTGGACATGTTGTCAGGAGAGACTAGTCCCTGTAGAAGGTCATTATATTTGGCAAAGTAGAGGGGCAAAGAAAAAGAGGAAGACCCTCAACCAGACGGATGGCCCAGTGGCTGCAACAATGGGCTCCGGTGTAGGAACCGCTGTGAGGATGTAGATGGATTGGGCCGGGGTCATTCTGTCTCTCAGAATGAGGTCCTTGGCATCTCCTCTTGAGGGCCAGGCTTCCCGGCTACAGCAGTTTGGTTTCTCCAACACAGCGTCTTTCTTTAAAATGTTATAGCCCAGCTCTGGATGCTATCCTTTAACTCACTTCCTCTTTTCCCGCTCCGGGGCTTGAGTTTCCCTGCTCTTTAATGGTCACTTTGAAGACTAAGGACATAGGACCCAAGCCAGGGAATTTTCAACCACCTCATATGCAGGTAAAAACTAGACAATGCATAAGGAAGACCAAAGAGGACGTGATGCACTTGAATTACAGTGTCAGCAAAGAACATCAAATATACCGCAGGCTTACAGAAGGGTGGACAGATCTGTGCTGGAAGAAGTCCAACCAGAATGCTCCTTAGAAGCAAGAGTGGCGAGGCTCTGTCTCATATCCTTTGGGCATGTTATCAGGAGGCACCAATCCCCAGAGAAGGACACCATGCTTGGTAAAGTAGAGAGGGAGATTCTTGACGAGATGGGTTGACACTGTGGCTGCAACAAGGGCTCAAGGCTGGGAACGGCTGTGAAGACCCAGCAGAGCTCATTCCATTGTGCCTCTGGTCGCCATGAGTCAGAACCAGCTTCACAGCATCTGGCAGTGACAATGGAGACTCAAAAGCAGTCCAATTCGTGAGTCCTGTCCTCTTGAAGAAGCTACTTTGTCCTGTGTAAGAAATCCTTCCCAACACACCTCCTCACTCTCCCTGTTACTTTCCAGCAGCCTCTAGTGCGCATGTGATCATCGACGAGCAAGGACATGCAGGAATCAAGACTGCTGTCTCCCCAGATTGATCCAGTGGGCCTGACACCGTTTGTTGAAAAGAGCAGCCTTTCCCCGCTGTCTTTCAGCGTTACCTTCATCATAAGTTCCAAGACTATCTCTGCTCCGATCGTGATTGCCCAATGACCATCACCTCCATTCCCTTCTGTGGTAGTTACATAATTTCATGTCAACTTGATGGATAAGTGCAGGGGTGGAGTTTAGCCTGTCCATCAGGTCACAGCCTGATGATGCCTCCTTGTGGGCGTGGCCTTCTCATGAGGATTCTGGGAACTTCTTCTCTCACGCTGCTTCACCTTCCTGTGGAGGAGCCACACTCTGAGAGCGGGAGGAGCCAGGTGGAGACCTGCGCCAGCGCTGAGGTGCTTCCACCGCCAGCCTGCGATCTTCCTGCACTTTGCCTCATTGCATGTGACTGCGCGAGTCTAAAGAAGGATTTTTGGACCGGTACTGGACTTAGGGGCTGATATCGCACTTGAGCTGGACTGGGCTGGGAGGTTTTCATAATATACAACTACTCCTTGATATAAAGCCCTTCCTTATACATATATGAGTGTCTCTGGATTTGTTTCTCTAGTCAGCCCGGCCTCACACACCTTCCTTCTCCCTTTTCTCCCCTCTTCCTATCTCTTGCTTCCTCCCTTTTCTTCAAGATTGTCTTGCCTGTTCTTGTGGTTGCTGTCAGTGCTATTGAGTCAACTCCGGCCCTTAGGGACCCTACGCACAACAGATGGAAACACTGCACGGTCCGTGCCATCCCCACAGCTGTTCCTATGCCCGCGTCCATCAATGCAGCCACTAGGTCAACCCATCTTGTTGAAAACCTTCCTCTTTGGCTGCCCCTCCACTTTACCAGGCATGATGCCCTTCTCCAGGGTCTGGTCGCTCCTGACAACCGTCCCAAGTCTGTAAGACGAAGTCTTGCCGTCCTTGCCTCTAAGGAGCAGCCTGGCCTGACTTCTTCCCTTCAGATGGGTGTGTCCTCATAGCAGTCCAGGGCACTTTCACTGTTCTTCCCCAGCACCGCATTTCACATGCACCGACTCTTCTACGGTCTTCCTTATTCAGTGTCCGGCGTTCGCATGCATAGGATGCAATGGGGAACATCGTGACTTGGGTCAGGTGCATCTTAGTCCTCAAAGTACCATCCTTGCTCTTCAATACTCTAAAGAGGTCTTGTGCAGCTGTTCTTAATTCTTTGCATTTCCATATAACTTTTAGGATAAGCATGCCAATTCCCAACCAAATAGAAGCATTCCATTTTTCTGTGATTGCACTAGCTCTATTGATCAATTTGAAGAGAACGGATGTCTATATAGCAAGGCCTTCAACTCATAAATTTGATCTATACTTCCATTTATCCAGATCTTCTTCTTTTAAAATGTTTTCTATTTTCTGTGTAGCCCTACCACAGTAAAGATAACTTGGCAGGTTTATTCATGGGAGCTTGTTGGTTGGCTTGTTTCAGTCTATTGCAGATGGCCGGTGCCTCTGTGGCGTCATTAAAGGAAAAGATTGTATTCTTCTGTGCACACGAGGGTCAATTTAAAAGCCAGTATTACAACTCCAGCATTTTTCTCTGTAGCCTCTCTAGAACCCCCAGAGAGTGGCAATCCTCCACTGCCCTGGATGCCCTGACCATCATCTCAGACATGTTAGCCCAGACATGGGAATGACACGTAGGATTGGCATTCAGTGTGGGCTGCAGTGAAACTGGAACAGGACAAGAGCTAACTTGGAGGAGGGCGAAATAAAACCAGAAAAAAAAAATGTTTCTGATTTAAGATCTTTTAACATGGGATGAAATGTAAAAAAAAAAAAAAAAGATTCGATTAAAGAAACAAAAGTCTATACTTTAATGATTAATGTGGTGTGTCCAACTACCCTTAATCTTTCTTAATCGCTCAAATGCAAGTTTTCTGATGTGAAGAGAATCAAATGGTGGGAGAAATTCAAGAAAGAGGGCACAGAATAGTGCAACAATTGTTCTGATAATAGAAGTCACACACGATTTCACTCAAGTGGAGTTCACTTTAACTTGAAGCCGTTGTGCTGTTAGGTGCCACTGTGTTGGTTTGGACTCATGCACAGACAAAACACTGCCCAGCCCCACCCCACCCTCCTAACTGCTGTCTTGTTGGCCCCATCATTGCAGCCTCAGCGTCCATTCACTTCCATGAGGGTCGCCCTCCTTCCCTGGCCCTCCACGTTACCCAGCGTGACGTCCTTCTGCAGGCATGAGCCCTGACAACATGCCCCAAACGTGAGGCACAATCTCGCCTTCCTTGCCTCAAAGGGGCATTCTCCCATAAAGAGCTACCGTCTCAGCAACCCACAAGGGCAGTTGGTTGGACTCTGTCATATAGGGTCGCTAAGAGTCGGAATGACTCAATGGCAGTCAGTTTGGTTTTGATTTGGTGGGACTCTTAACTGTTCTGGTCAACAAGCTGTGCCAGTCCAGGCTGGTTCTCACGGGGCTGCTTCCCCCAACTGTGGTTTGAGAGGAGGCACCACTTCCTGAAGCAGTAAATGTCAACAGCAGTGGAAATACACAGCTAGCTGCCCATTGATTCGTCACAAAGAGAACCGAACGAGAAGGCACTGGAACTGTGTGCTCAGGCTGTGATCGGAAATCATCGCTTCCTGGCTTTTTCCATGAAGCATTGTGCACTAGAAGCTCACAATGGCACGAAGCACTTCTGACACTGCCATGAAATATTCTGCATACGCGAGGGGCGATGCCTGATTGAATGACATTTGGAAACAATTTCCTTATAATAAATGGCATTTCACTTCTAAGGCTTGGGGGCATAAGCAAGCTGAGAAAGAGCAGAGATCTAATGAACAAGGTCAGACCGAGACTCAAAGCTGCTCTGTGTACTTTTCTGTCTGCTGCCTACACCAAAGTCCCATGGGGAAGACCACCAAATGATGGCTTCCAGAGACAGACAGCACTGGGTGGGGCTGAAGAACATATGGGGCAACTCAGGTCAGTGTGATTGGAATGAGGGGCAACTCCGGGTGTGTGAAAGGCATGACAAACAACTTATTTTTCTCGATTCAGACCTGCACACGAAACCACGGGGGAACAAGTCAAAGAATGTGCTATTGGGGTGCTGCGCCATAACCTCACGTCTGGCTTTCAGCACTCCTACTGCCTCTGGCCCGCGCTCTGCAGCACCTTGGGGCCGGGCGTGCACTTCGCATGTGCCAGGTCCAAACGGCGAGGCAGCACGGAGCCAAACTGCTCAGCCAGTCGACGCCTCACAAGCTCCCTGTGTCTGGCTACTGCCTCCACCAAGCCCTCTCAAGAGCGCATGTCGGCGAGATGAGTGTACAGGGAGGCTTGGGCAGAGAGGAGGGGGCTCAGCGTCATGGCGACTGCCTTGGAACCGGTTACCCCAAGGGCTTTTAGGGCCAAGAGACTCATTAGCCACTACTTCAGGGGGGTCTCCTCAAGACAGGGCATAATCAGGAGAGGAAAAAGCATGCCAGCAATCAACAATGGTGCCACAATATTTGACCAGGGTTCGTAATGTAACACATCGTGAAGGTCAAGTGCCAATAGGCAATGGGCAGGAGGACAGATCTTAGGCTGGCCACTCTTCTGTTGTGGGGGACTGATTGTGGTGCTGCTGCTGCTGCTGCTGGTGGTGGTGGTAGTGGTGATGGTGAAGGTAGTGATGGTGTTTTCCTTGGTCGTGTGGCTTTTGATGGTAAGCGTGGTGTTGGTGATCGTGGCGTTGGCAGTGGTGGGGTGGGGGTGGTGATGGTAATGGGCACGGTGGTGGAGGAAATGGAGGCAGTGGAGATGGAGGTAGTTGATGATCATGGCAGAGGTAGTGGTGGTAGTGGTGATGGTGGTGGTGGAGGTTTGCATGGTAGAGGTGGTGGTGGTGGCAACAATGGAGACAGTGGTGGGGTTGGTGGTGAGGGTGATGGTGAAGGTAGTGGTGATGGTGCTGGGGATGGTTGTACTGGTTGTGATGGTCATTGTGGGCATGGTGGTAGCTGGAGTGCCACTTCTGGAGTGTCACCAGGTGCCCAGTGCTTCTCCAAGCACTGTGCATACTCAAGACTTTATCTGGCCACGGCAGCAGTCTGGGAGGTTGTGGCTGTGATTAGCTGCCTGCACAACACAACAAAACACTGCCTGGTCCTGCACCCACCATCTTCAACAACAGCAGGTGGATCTGACCAGGACACCCATTGTGGAGATGAAGAAAACGGGTCACAGAGTGGTCACATAACTGCTAAGGTGGCTGCTCTGAACCCAGTGATCACACCCCCTAAGTGATGCTCTAGGCACTGTTCTGCGTCCCCAACATCGCACCCAAAGCAGCACGTCCTGGGGTGTGTGCACTTTATCTGCTTTTACCCTGTGCAGGCCACGTCCCACTCGGCACGCCTCCTCCCCACAGCTGCAGGCTTCAGAGCCCCCTGGCAATTGGCAGTGCCTACAAGTGGACACTGGGAAAAGGCTGACTCGGATGGGAATGTCCAGAATGGGAAGGATGGCCAAAGGACCAGGGAGAGGCTCAGAGCATGATCGGGATGAAGATGGATGGTGACGTACGTGGTCCTTGCCATGGGCAGACGTGATCAGGAATCAAACGTTGAGGCAGATGTAGGATGAACTACTTCTGCAGAATCACTGGCCAAGCTACAAGTTATTTCAGTTAGGGAGATGATTCAAAATGACGGCATTCACAGACGCTGGAGCAGACACTACCTCTGCGTAAGAAAGAGTGCTAACATTTTCTGAGGACACACTTGATTTGTAATGCCGCATCCGGAACGCCTGGTTCTCAGAGCTCTGCTTCTGACATTCCCCTCGGTTGCCCTCCTCTTGGTAACTTCCGTTGTCACGAAGGCAATGTGGCAGCTATCAAGGTGCCCACCGGTGCCAAACCACGGCCACAGCTCTGCTTTCTTCTTGGGTCTTGCAACAGTGTCCTTCGCCAGCTGTGGGCACTCAGGGCACGGAGCAGGAAGTGGCTCTGCCAGTGTTCTTCAGAGTCCTCTTGGTCCCTTTGTTGTTCATTCCATGTCCCCAGGCATCTAGCTGCCCCGGTGTATCCGAGTGGACCTGTTTCCCATTGGGTGGTCGATGGGTGGTTTTTCTAAAGTAAATCACCAGCCATCGCTTCTGAGCTACCTCAGGGTGGGCTCAAATCTCCGACCTTTGGGTCAGCAGCCAAGCACTTCAATCATTTCCACCCCATAGGGACTTCCGTTTTAAATCAAACAAACCAAGCCTGTTGCCTTCAAGTCCATGCCAGCTCACGCGCTACAGAGCAGAACTCTGCCCAGGGAGTTTTCTTGGTGATAGCCTTCACCGAAGTGGATTACCAAGTCTTTCTTCCACGCCACCACTTGGTAGATTCAAGCTGCCAGACTCCAGGCCTGGAGTGGAATGGACACCAAAGGCACCTACCAGGGACCCTCGGATCCCATGTTCCAGAAAAACCAAACACACTGCCTTTGAGTGGATGCCAGTGTCAACAATGACGTCCCGCTCTCATCTCCTCTGTCTACACCAGGAAGAAAGAAAACCAACTCCACGCCAGCCCGAGGCTGGCCGCCCCAGGCGGTGGTCAGAGGGCCTCCACCCTCCACCCTTTTCTTCCTCTCTGTTCTGACACCAGCCATTCTTCCCACAGATGCAACTTCTCTGCTGGCTCCCACAGCTCGTTGTCAGGGCCACGCAGAACTCACAGCCCCTCCTCGGGGCTAACGGGGGTTTGTTGAGGAAGTTACCAGCGCCTCACATGTCAGCATCACAAGACATGAAGGACACACACAGTCTTGTGTCCACAGCAGCAGCTCTGCTCAGCCATGCTGGCAGGCATGCCTGTCCTGTCTTTGGTCCCTCCCACATTGGGCCCATGTCCTTTGCCCCTGGAGCCCAGGAAGCCTGTTGCCACTGGGCCTCACTGCCTTCTAGTCTCGGTGCTCCTGGGCATGGCTCCTCTGCTGGCTCTGTGGCTTCAGGCAGGGATCTCGCCCCTGCTCCGCTGGTAGCTCTTCTTTCTCTTCCTGCCTTTGAGCAGGCTCTCTTATACCCAGGGAAAAGGCAAAACTGACCAATCGCTGAGTTAGAATGCGCTACACCTTATTTGCATGTCCCCACCCCATCATTTGGTGGGACTTACAGGCAGGTTCTCTTCTGCATCTGGCTTGAGTTTCTGAAGGCAGTTCCCTTGCCGATGGGTTGCTGCAACCATTTAAAAAATGCCCCTCCACGGAGATGGACTCCCACGCAATATTAATGATGCTACTCCAGTTTCCACATCCTGTCGGGTCACCTTATTTTTGGACCGGCCTCGTAGATGCACCTCTTGCTTAGCTAGCTGTCTTCCAGATTGCTTGGCTCAGACCAGTGAGCGCAGCCAGCATTACATCTGTTTGTTGACACACTTCATTGGTATCTCTTTTCTCACGGATGTTCTCAGAACCTCTTGGGTCTTCAGTATCATAGATTCTTGAGCACAGGCTGCTTCCTGAAAGCACTGGACTTTAACCAATTATTTCAGGGGGAATGACTGTGTATCCCTTTCGAGTCACCCCCTCCCCCGTGTTGCTCAATGAAGTGAAAACCTGGGAGCCCCAGCAGTGTAGGGGACGGCGTGTTGGGCCGCTTAGTGCAAGGCCAGCAGTTTGAAACCAAGAGCCACTCCAAGGGCAAAAGATGAAGCTCCCCGCCCTCCCCCAAGCATGACAGTCTCAGAACCCACCCACCCCTGGGGCAGTTCTACCCTGCTCTGTAGGGTCACTATGAGTCCAAAACAGCTCAATGACAGTGGATTGGCTTGTATTCTCTTTTTCAGATAATCTTTAGAGGATATTGAGGGGGAAGGGGTTATGGAAGTGTAGCTAAAGACTCTATGGGGTGCCCAGGAGATTTCTTCAGCCTAGAATTGGCTGTCTTCAGATTTGGAGATTTGGGGATTTGGCCTTAGGCAGTGTGGGCATTTGGATTTGACAAATCCTGACTGTCCCTCCCAGAGGCCAGGCAGACAGACCCTCGGGGGGGCAAAAGACAAGGCTTTCTGTTCCCATAAAGAGTTACAGCCTGTCCTACAGCTGAGCGTAGTGATGATTGCACAACTTTTTTTTTTAATACAACTGAACTCTGGAAGCACATGCTAGATCAATTATATCTCAATAAAGCATATTAAAATTTTTTTTAATTGAAAAAGTGATGGTCTAGCAACCCCCCAGGGCCGGCCCGGGGCCACTCTTGAGTGGGAATCGCCCGGTGGCAGGGAGGAAGTTCTACTTTCATCAGACAGGGACTTCCCCACAGCGGCCAGCCGCAGTCTAGGGGGCTGTGGTGGTCTGCGGGCAGCCCCCGTGAAAAGGGTGTGAAGTGTGCAGGGTGACCAATGGCCAGTCACGCTAGTGGCTCAGCGATCCCCCATCCCACCGCTTCCTGGTTGAGGTCTTCGACCTCAGGTGTCTGGCACACCTCGCAGTTCGCAGCCCCACCCATAGCCCTGCCCCCAGACAGCCTTTCCCCACTAGCTCACTTACGTGTACGTCATTCACCGCTACAATTTTAAAGATGCCTTCACAACACAAGGCCACTTGGTACAAGCGCAGCCCTGTGTATGTTAGCAACCCAACGAACGAGTAACCCCTCGGAGAGGTAAGTGAGCAAAAGAGAAACGGCGTCATTCAAAGCTTGAGCCCCGAAGCACGGCCGGATGCAGTGCGGAGGAGACCTCTGAGAAGTCCCTTCGGCCCCACTCACCTGGTGAAAGCCCAGATAGTCCACGATCGTCGCTGACGCGTAAAAGATCACTCCTTCCGCGCTCACCACCAGCGCGAAGCCGTTGAGAGACTGGAAGAAGCCAGAGCGGAGCGTGAGAGGAGCGCCCGCGCCCTGCCTGAAACCGCGCAGGGTCTCCCTTACAGCGCCCACCCTCTCCTGCTGCTGGCGGCGCCCCCCTCGTTCCGGCCCCGCGTCACCTGTGCCGGGGCACGCAGACAGGACCGTGAAATCACGGCGCAGGAGCAGAGACCTTCTCGTTGGCTCTGCAAGGCGCTGGCCAGGCACGCCCCTGTGCTCACTTGGGCCGCTTACTTTTCCAAGAGCTCTTAGCATAAGGATGCTGGTGCAAAGCCCTTATCTGCATCGACCACCCCCTGCGGCTCCTGCAGCCCCTCCAGGAGGGGCCCGCGGGGTGGGTGAGTCCCGCCTCCACCCCTGGAAGGAAGCCTGTCTGACCCTGCTGACTTCTTCAGACCCTCTTGGACAGAGAGCGGCTGCAGGCGCTGCGGGCTATGCATGCAGGGGTCCTGGCTTGCACGTCCCGCACGGATTTGATGGCAAACACACATAATCAGCGAAAAGTCAGCGGGACCCAGGCCATTTTCAGAGTGCCTCTGCACCTTGCCCACATGGGCCAGGGCATGGTCTCTGCCGGCCTGGGCATCCACCTGGCCACCTGACTGGTGTCCACAGGACAGGTGGAGTCAGAAGACACTCGAAAGTGGATCCAGGGTCCGGGGGTCGGGAGATGGAGGGGGGCAGGTGGGTGTGAGACCAGGTCGGTTGGGCTGGGTGCTCCTGCTGGGACACCATAAGCTGTCACCTCCCCTGTAGCCCACACTCCCCACCCCCACCCCCAGGGAAAGAAGGACAGCCAGCTGAGTCTCCACCCCTGAGGTGAGGAGCTGCCCCCATTGGACAGGGTGGTGTTGGGGGAGTGTCCACCCCGTGACATCTGCCAGTGGGAGTGGGCCCTGGAAGCAGAAGGGCTGAGGAGAAATCCCTCAACCCCCGCACCCCATCCCTCCATCTACGCTTCACCACGGAAAGCCACAGACTGCGGCCGTGGCTGGACACCGAGGCTGGCTGACCGCCCCCGGCACTGCGAGTGATGGAGAGGCTCTGAGGGAACGGTGCAAAACGGGAGAGCAATTGTGATGCTGTGAACTCTCTGGAGAGGCCCAGGGGGTGGGGGTGGCAAAGGGGTGTCGTGGAGGCCCAGGAGCGTGGGTGCAGCCATGTTCGCCAGAGAGAAGCTCGATTCTCAACCCACCATTCCTGGGGCCCTAGACCCAATCCTCCTGGGCTGCAGCCTGTAGGAGATGCATGAGGGACAGACTGGACTCTGGGCAATGGGACCTTGTTCCCCAGGGCAACGATAGGGGCCCAGAAACTCTGGACCCCAGAGAGCTGCAAGGAGGGAGGTTGAGGCAGAAGGGTTTGGGTAAGGTCCTGAGCACCTTGTCCCTCTCCCTCCCCCCCGGAAGTACAAGACTCTGGCAAGGAGACAGTTCCCTTTCCCACCACCAGGTGGTGTCCACGCAGACTCATAGCAACCCTATGGGGCGGAGTAGAATTGCACTGGCCCCCCCACCCCCACCTCCCCGGGTTTCCAAGAGGACACCTTCGGTGAGCAAACAGCAACATATTTCTCCGCAGAGAGGCTGGTGGTTTCGAATTGCTGACTTTGCTGTTATCAGCCCAAGTGGAATTAAATAGATTGCTGAATTACGGAGAAATAAGAAACATCTTTGGAACATCGTGGCTTGATAATACATCTCAGTCACATAATGACTTTTACTATGCACAAATTTCAACATGTATAAAAGTATATTGAAAAACAGTGGCGTCACTATATTGAAACCCTGTGTGCCCATCAGCCAGCCTCAGCAATGGCCAGCTCCTGTCTAATTTTGTCTCATCTCTAGTCCCCGGCCACCGACCAAATTGTTTTGAAGCAAATCCCAGGCTCCAAACCCAGAAATGTTTCCATTCGTAAATTAACTACCATGAAGTTTGTGGTCATCAGCAGTAAAGCGTAATTACTCATTTCCCCGAAGCTTAACCACGTTAGACAATCTTAGAGAGTCTAGTACAATAAATTATGTGACCATTGTTTTAATGATCATTTCATTGATTACTAATGATTGAAAAGACATTCCACACCTTCGCAAATAATTCAGATTCTGTGAAACAATGCTGTGGCACATCATTTGTCAGATTTTCTAATATGGGTTTAAAATATCAGTGTCTAAGTCTTTAAAATGTAGGCACTGGAGACTTTGACACACGGAGAATAACAGCAGTCATGTAGACACACATCTCCCACACATTCTAACCCTGTGGGAAGCCAATCATCAGAGTTAGGGAAACTAGGCACACCAAGGTCCTTGGCATAGCTCAAACACAGAAAAATGCAGTGAGCTCGAAATTATGTGCAAACCAAAAGAATCAACATCAAATCCCAGTGGCTTAAGATAGTTGCAACACAAAAGGAAAAAAGTGCATAGTTGTTCTGCAAGAAAATAGAGAAATAAGAGCTGGTTTAGTCCAATGTTAGCAGGAGAGAGTAAAAAATAAATAAGAATCAGAAAGGAAAAATCTGAAAATTTCTTAAAAAGGTTAAATTACGGAGAACATCAACAAAGTCAAATGTTGGCTCACTGGAAAAGTTTCAAAGCCCCTAGGAAGGCTGATAGGGGCAAACACGAGTTACTGGAGCCAAGAATCTAAAAGGTACACCATTGCAGATCCGGCGGCTAGGAGCAGGGCCATAGAAGAAGAATGATATTTAGAGATTAAACCATTTAAAAGCAATAAGCAAATTCTTTGAAAAAAGCACAAATTAACAAGTGATAAAATAACTACAACATCTAAAGAACCTATTACCTATTAAACAAATTTAATCTGTAATCAAAACTTTTCCACAAAGAAAACTCCAGGCTCGGATCAAAAACTACAAAACACGTAGGAATACATCTACTGAAAAGTATATATTAAAAATGAAATTACTGAGAGAAAATCTAAGTAGATAATATGCATGTATTGAAAGTTTCAACATAGTTAAAATATCCAATCTCCCTAAGTTTATTTATCGAGGCAAGGCCATCCAATCGTAAACCCAGTAGGATTGTTTTGTGTTTGCTTATTTGTTAGTTGTAGAGTCTGAGAAAATGATTCTAAAATGTATATCTATGAAATGACTAGGAGAACCTAAGTAATCTTGTTAGAGATGAAAAAAATGATAGGACTTACAATGATTCATGACTTACTATAAAGCTATGACAATTAATACAATGTGGCATTCATGTAAGGACAGACAAACTGATTTTCAACCCAGGTACTAAGTCAATCCAATGGGAGATTCTTTTAAACAAATGCTGTGCTAGGACAACTGATTACTTTATATGGAAAAAATAAACCTTGATCCTAGCACATTACAAACACAAAAATTAATTCAAAATACACAATAAACATATATATATATATAAAACTCAGAACTACAAAACTCATAGAAGAAAATATCTTTATGAATTTGGGGTAGGTAAATCTGCATGGCACATAGAGACTCTGATCATGAGTGGAAATGACTTCATTGAACCACTCACTGCCACCAAGTCTGAGCCCCTTCCAACTACAATTGACCCGCAGGACAGGGTAGAACTGCCCCCATGGGTGTCCAAGACAGTCACTCTTCATGAGAGTAGAATGCTTCCTCTTTCTCCCACAGAGCAGCTGGTGGTTTCAAACTGCTAACCATGCAGTGAGCAGCCCAACAGGTAACCAGGAAACCACCAGGGCTTTATTGAAAAACACTGTTGAAAAACGAAGGGACAAGACACAGGTGAAAGAAAAGTAAAATTCACAGACAGTGACAAAGGACTGGTGACAAGCATATGAAAAAGAAACTCTACAAATCCATTTTTTTAAACAAGGAGGCCACAGTTGAACAGATACTTTGCAGAAGGAGACAGAGACTGTACACAGGAAAATGTGCTCGGCATCAATGGCCACCAGGAAACGTACACCAAACCATATTACAACACTCTCTCTGACAATATAACAATATCATGATATCACATGCCAGTAAAATTTTACAGTTAAATTTTATAAGGATTGCTGCAGTACATTGACAGAGAACTGCCAGAGGTTCGGGCTGGATTCAAATGAGGACACATGGCTAGGGATATTGTTGCTGATGTCAGATGGATCTTGGCTCAAACCAGAGAATACTGGCAAGATGTTTACTTGTGTTTCATTGACTATACCTAGGCATTTGACTGTGTGGACCATAATAAGCTATGGATAACCTTGAGAAGAATGGGAATTCCGGAACACTTCATTGTCCTGTACATGGATCAAGAGGCAGTTGTGGGAAGAGAACAAGGGAATACTGCATGGTTTAAAATCAGGAAAGGTGTGTGACAGGGTTGAATTCTCTCACCATATTTGTTCAATCTGTCTGCTGAGCAAATCGTCAGACGCTGGATTAGATGAAGGAGAGTGTAGCATCAGGACTGGAGGAAGGCTCATGAACAACCTGCGACATGCAGATGACACTTTGCTTGCTAAAAGCGCGGAGGACTTGAAGCACTTGCTGACGAGGCTCAAGGACTGCCGCCTCCACTATGGATGACAACCCAGTGCAGAGAAAGCCAGAGCCCTCACGGCCGGGCCAACAGGTGACGTCAAGGAACACGGAGAACAGGCTGACGGTGTCGAGCATTTTGTCTTACTTGGATTCACAATCAATGCTCATGGAAGCAAGTCAAGAGATCCAAAGATGTGCTGTATTGGGTAAGTCTACGCACAAGGCCTCTTTAGAGCACTGAAGAGCAAGGATGTTACTTTGAGGACTAAAGTGAGCCTGACCCAAGCCATGGTATTTTCAGTTGCTTCATAGGCATGTGAAAGTTAGACATTGAATAAGGAAGATTGCCGTGACCCTTTAAATACAGTTCCTCATGTTGTGGCGACCCCCCAACCATAAAATTATTTTCATTGCTATTGTAATTTTGCTACTGCTATGAATTGGGTGAACCCTGTAAAAGGGTTGTTCGACCCCCACA